GCTACAAGAATTGAAAACATACCTGACAGGATAATCCAGCATAACCCGGAGGACACTGGCACTGTTCAATCATGTTCGCTTTCGGCGCATTTCCGCTACCGACGGTCGCAGTGTCCATCACGATATCGGACAGCGTTACGTCCAGGTAACTGCTGTCAACGTATTGCGCTCTTCACATGCAATAAAAATTTACAAATATACAGATTACAGTTAGAAAAAAAAGAATGCAAAGTTTTTCGGAAGAGTAAATTGTTCTCTCACCGAACGAGAAGGAATTCAATGCTTTGCAGGGCCATCATCAAGTCTTCGCGCGTCGCTGGTTCAATGCCTTGAGCAGGTCTGTCTACTTGAGGCACGTAATTGACCCTCTTGAACCACTTGCCAGGGATAAACTGCACTTCCATGTGATTCGCCAAAGTTGGTCGAGGACTCAGGTCAGATAGGTAGAACAACGTCCGTTTGTTGCCCTTGAAAAAAAAATAAAATAAAATACAGGAAAACAATGAAAATTTGTGAAGACAAGAAACCGCGTCGCGCAAAACAAAGTTGAAATTCTAAACAACCATCATATTTAAAAGTAAATTTATTTACACAAGTACAGGAAAAAACATTTCGCATTATTTTCTGCAAAATAATTCCAATTTCAGGGTCCACCCTGTGATGACTGACTTGAGTAGAATAAAAGCTTCAAAGTTGTGTCTCACCCATTGAGAGATAAAGGATGAAAATTTTTTAAGTACAATACCTGGATGATGACGTCAGGGGCACTGATGAGTCTCGGGACGTTGACGCTCGACGTGGTGAACGTGATCTGGTACCTCAAGTACCCGCCGTAGCTTCGCGTCTGGTCCCCACGGAGCCCCTCAGGCAAGGCAAAGTAAGGTACTACTTCGTTTGATATGCCGAGAAGGCTCCTGTTCCTGGCATTCAACTTGTACCTTCCACTGCCAGCATTTCGCAAGTAGGACTGGCTCAACGAGTATCGCGAGTCTTCCACACGATAAACGCGTTGGAACGTGTCGAAAGTGACCCCGATCAGCTGAAAGATACCGAGTGCTGGTGCTGGAATCTGGAAAAAATAACGAAAGAAAATAATGAAAAACATCCAGAAGGACTTGAATAAAATGTAATCAATACGCTCGCAATACAAATCATGTCATTTTACGGGATACTCCGCGGGAATTGTTCTGACGCTGATAGTAATTTCCACAGTAGACTTTCGTTAGAGCAACGATTTCCTTAAATCGAAAAATGCTGCAGGTGCTATAGTTACTTCTGCATTTTAGAAACATTCGATCTCGTGTTAGTAAATATATCCGATTTCAGAAGAACGCTTGTTAACAAAATTTACTCTCCCCTTCACGCGTTCAGTGGTTTGAAAATTGATGTTTTTTTTTTGCACCGAGACGCACAAATTAAATAGAACTAAATATAAATAAAGAATGATTAATTCACCAGAAAAAGCTGCGGTGACATTTTATAAATGGTCAGAATTGTTTGCAAAATTAAATGGGAATATTTTATCAAATACGAAGGGCTCAAAAAAGCCGACATCTTCACCAGTACTGTATAGAAGGAAACTCAGTTTATCCCAAGATTTCCTCTGGTCAGAAACCTTGGAACTCGCTCAATTTTTCTATTTATTTCTTCTGTCCAATGGTAAGTTTTGCCAGCAGAAAAGCTTGATAATCCCAGGGCAAATTTGTCTACATTTTTATGTTGTTCCTTTTCGCGAGTTAACTTAGATTCATTTATTATGGCCAAGTTTTGTGTGCTTTCACAGTTCAACTTTTTTTCTTCGCCCCTTGCGACATATGGATGATATCCACTTTTTCTTTCGCTTTTCGTGCGTTCAACGTTCACCGAATCATCGTAGCACACCCAAGATTCGGCATTTCAGACGCAATATACGGTACTATATATATTAGCACGAAACAAACCTGAGTGATTTGCAGTTCACTGCTGTAGCAGCGATCAGTGATCCCAAAGCAGAAACAGGTGAGGCATTCTTCTCGCCGAGACGCCAAAGAGTTGAACTGCGGGGGTTCGCAAACCCCGTGGGGCAATTTCACGTCAACACGAGCATTCGGATGAGCGAAAATCGTCGCCCTCGCATTTAAAGCTTCGCAGCTGTAAGCTCCTTGATCACTCAGCTGGGCATTCGGACACTCCAATCGTCCCATGCCGTCATTGCTGCAGAAAAAATGAATTATTTGCTATAATTTCGTTTTCCGTATTTTGAAAATAATTATAAAAAAAAAACTTGGATAAAAATCAACACTGACCTTTCCATAGTGCATTTTTCCGGGACGTAGCCCCAGTTCAAACGCCAAATGATTTCAGGAGTCGGTACTCCGACAGCTCGACACGTCAGAATGATTGTCTCACCGAAATTCACCACAAGGATGCTTGGTGGTGGTTGAACAATCACAGGGTCACCTTGAAAAAGCCAGAAAAAATGCCATGAAAATTTTCGGAATCTTTTTCACTAAATAAAATAATGGTTAATTTAACGCACTGCAACTGATTTCATCGGATCCATCCATGCAATCTTTGTCGTAATCGCAATGGAATGCTCGGGGAACACATTGCTTGCCGTCATGACACTTGAACTCCTTCGAACTGCACTCTTCGCCAATCGGTGTTGGATCTATAGAATTCATGATACACATCGAATGACAATAATAACGACTGACCGCTTTCGTGTCCTGTATTTATAGACCGCGTCCAAAAAATTCCGAAAATTTATCTAAAAAGTAATCACTATATATAAGGAGGAAAAAATGAGAAATGCTCTACCTATAAGCAATACCATCTGAACTTTCCAAGAAACAATTTTCAACCTTCTGAATATACTATAAAGCGTGAAGATTACGTACCTTTTATTTAATTTGCAACCTTTTTGTTTCGTAACACTATTAGGAAACATCCTGAACTATGTTGAAGCATAATTCATTTTTTCTCGAAAATATTTGAAATAAAATTCTTCAAAATCGAATAAATGTCATGAATCAGGATTTCATTTTGAGAAAACATGGAATACATTACCGCAGTTTGTCTCATCACTGTTATCCCCGCAGTCGTTATCCGAGTCGCAGATCCACGACTTGAGGATGCATCTCTTGTTGCTGCACCTGAATTCGTTCGGCTGACATCTGTCCAAGCCTGAAGAAAATTTTGTAAAATCAGAAAATCACCCGTGAGTTCGGTGCAGTACTTCATAGTAGTACTTACTGCATCGCATTTCGTCTGATCCATCAGGACAGTCCAGGTCTCCATTGCAAACTTTAGAATGAGGGATGCATGTTCCGTCCAAACATGTGGACTGGTTGTAAAGACAAGCTGGCGGCGGTCGAGCAGTCGGCGGAAAGTCTGACAGGGAAATAATTTATTTCATTAGCGTTAGAAAAAATACGTACTAGCCTATATGCCAACAAAAACTCAAATAGTTTGCAACAAATTCGATGCGATTTTCGGGAACGCAAGTAAGAAATGAAGCGCGAATACAGAGCTCGAGTAGGTCGCGATGAAAACAGCTTATCGATGATTGATATGGTAATTTCGGCATTATAACCCAGCACTATCGAATCTTTTGGCTCGCAAACTCTCCGGAAAATTCAACGAGCTGAAAGTTTTAAAAGGAACTCGATTTTTCGTTTAACTGCTTCCAAAACAAACTTCTAGGGGTTTGACACAAAGAGGAATTCAGCAATTGAACGTAAAACCTATTCTGAAAATTTGCATCATCAGCAAATGCCGGCCTGGAGAAAACTTGACAACATTGTGAAATTAAATTTCGAAAAGATGGGATTTTGAGAGAAATTATGACGCCAAGACAAAAAGACGCTAGAAAATTTGTCGAGAAAACGGCATGTCAGAAAAAGTATCACAGTACAAAACACAATTCATGATAAATTTAATGCCGGAGATGAACGCCAAAAGTAAAAAATACCTCGATTGGAAGAGTGAAGTATACACGAAAAAAATTATACTTCAAATATTACCGAAAGCCTATTGAAAACGTGTCATCCTACACATTCAAATGCAAGAAAGGTAAATCAAAAATGGATAACGTTGCTGAAAATATTTTCCATCGACGTCTTCTCCTGATCTTTATTCCCCTTACCATGATTTCCTAGTACTATACCAACAAAAAATCAATTAAGCCCGGCTTTTTAGTACAGGTACCTGGAATTCGGAAAATGTAACCTTTGGAAGCGAAAAAAAAATCAACATTATAATAAGCTGCTAAAATGCACTGCAGCTAAAAGTATCGACGTAATCAACCTGCAAACAAAAAAAAAACCAATCCTTTGAAAATTTGATATGAAGAATGCAGAAAAAGTCGTGCCTTGAAACTCAAACATCAACCCTAATCGCAGGCAATTAAAATTTTAAATTCTTCATTCACCTCCCGTGTACCGATTCCGCGTTTTGCCTTCCTGATGCCGACGGGTTCCGAACTCTCGTCGGTGACCCGAGTCCCGAGACCCGGATCCGGGGTAATGCATCAAATTACTTCCCGTTACGGGTTCAGATGCTTCATCCCCGGACGAAGCAGACAATCCCGAATGTACTTGCGGACTATTGATTAAATCCGGATTGTGTTCGTACTGATGATAATTCCGCTCGATCGCCGTCAATCGCGACGAAGTCGGCGCATTATATTCGTCATTTTCTACGTCATTATTCCCGACGTACTCGTCGTCGTCGTAATGGTCTGGGTTCCGCTCGAACCCGGATTCGGTGGTCAAAGGGGACACATGATGCGAAAAGTGGAGGTTGCTGGGTTCGGGGTACAGACGCTTTTGGGGGACGGGTTCGTAATGGGTCTCGTGTTTCACACTGTACATCTCGCGGGAGCTGATGAGCCCGTCCCTGAACGCAGTCAGGTTCACGATTCGGTTGTCGGACGTCGAAAATCCCAAAGCAGCTTGCGAACGCATTCATATATCACGTCATTAAACATATTGTACACGCTAATTAAAGTCCAGTTATTGTTATTTTTTCCTGATGATCTGGACTACTGAAAAGAAAAAAACTGTGACTTCCTTCGAATACTCACATTCTTCGACGCGAAGATACACGGAAACGCGGGAACCCGAAGCTCCAGGTGGTGCTCCAACAGCTTCGCAGATGTACGTTCCACCGTGATTCAACTGCAAAAATACGTGGCCAAAATCAAATTTTTCACATATTTAAATCCCAAAATGTAAGCCCTTCTGTTTTTCAATATTATAACTCATTTCCGCGAAGACAGGCCGCACAGGACTTACTAAGAAAAAATCATATTCGCTGAAAAAACTGAAAAATTTGAAGAGAAACACTGCAATTTTTTTTAATGAGTCAACATTTTGTCAAAAGCTTTCATTGGAACTTTTTCGCACTAATGTAAATTTTCTTGCGTTTGGAAAAAAATTTATTGGGTTGCAAAAAAAAAAACATGTTGGTGTACATAAATATTGGAACAATATATGCTGTATATCACCAGCAAGCCACGTAAATGCTCGTGCACTTCATTTCTCTTCAAATTCGGTAACTAGCAATATTTTTGGCTAAAATCCCCGCAAGAACAAATAAAAAATATGCAACACAAGATACCGACCTTGACAGTAGGCATTGTTAGGCGACCGTTGACATCAGTCGACCCCGGGGGTAATGGCAGCCCGTTACCCCTGGACCACCTCACAGGATATCGATTCGGACCCTCGTCTCTGCACTGGAAAACGACTTCGCGATCTGGACGAACCAATCCAAAGATATGAAATGAAAACATGTATTAAAAGAAACATAAGGATGCGGAGCCAAAACCAAAAAAAAAAAAAAAAAAACTACCGTATGCAACTAAAAAACGGGGGGATATTCGCAGGCACCAAGGGGGATACCAGCATCATTCAATCGAGAACCGTGCAATCATTCACCACAGGAATCGCCGCATTATTAGTACCCTGAATCTTCCTCTCTTGCTTTTCCCGAAAATAAAAGAGAATCTTGGCAGAAATAATAGGCATCGCAATTCGACAAAATAAAGTTGAGTAAGCCAATTCACCGAAAATTCCGCGGATTTGCCTCAGCGAGGCTCGGGGAAATCTTCAGGTATAAAAATATCAATGAATCTATTTATCGGAAAATAAACCCCTTGGGTTCTTCCGCTAACGCTGATCTCATTATTTAATGTCCATGACCACGCAAACTATGGAAAGCAAAAGGAAGGCTCGAGAGGACGACGATGACGAATCAGATATTAAACAAAAAAACTTCGTAGTTATTCGTCACTAAAATTCAAAATGCAAAAAGCTTCTGTTACCTGTCCACGTTTCTTTCGCAGCTTCGCCTTTAGATTTTTTTTTTTTTACCCAGCTCGCGCTCACTTTCAAAATAATAAATCGATAAAAGCAGCAGCATGCGAATCACTGTTTCCGACTCCAATAAAAGAAAATAAAAATTCGAAATCGCAACTTTTCAGGCCACATGCCAGCAACTATTTCGACTTTAAAACATGTCCAAGGCAGAGGTGAGAGTCTATGTAGGCGTAGCATTGGGTAAACAACGACACCGCTATATTCTGAATTCATTGAGCAGGCCATTGTGGGACTCACCTTTCGCATATCCTACATCGGATATGTGCAACCAGTAAAATTCGGCATGTATGAAAAACAAATAAAGAAATTGCATGACAAACTCGCATCATATTCTATATAGGAAATTACGAAAAAATTCCACGAAACGCGAGCGGCTAAAAAAAAGGGCGTCTTCATATAGGGATTTTACAAAGCTCGATACAGTGAATTGAAAGCTGAGGCTTGAATTGATCCTACCTTGTTTGATGGTTTGATCCGAAGGATACGTTCTCAGGTTTATATCGTTCCCAGGCGGCACTGCAAAGAATCAAACAAAATCATTGATCTAAAAAAATTAATGAAAATTTCAAGATAGAAACCGCAATTTGCTTCGTCAGTTCCGTCGGAACAATCCTGGTATCCGTTGCAAACAGAAGACGATGGAACGCATTCGTACGTACGTTTGCACCGGAATTCGTTCGAATTGCACTGATTGATGCCTGCAAATTTCGGAGAAAAATAATGTATCACTGCGATATTTTTATATCGTTCTGGGGGAAAACGAGTGTAACTCACAATTGCGTTCATCTTCCTGTTCAGGACACTGAGCATATCCATCGCAAATCTGTCTGTTGCTGATACACGAACCGTCTGAACACTGAAACATTCCTGTTCCACAATCTGGTCCTGAAAACATTTTTTTTTTCATTACAGTTCCCTTCATCGGACAAACAGCTAACAGGGATTTCTTTCAGAAAAAAAATCAAGGAAATAACTCACGCGTCGGGCAGTTTGTCTCATCGGAACCATCAGCACAATCTCTCCTTCTGTTGCATCGTAAGCTCGTAAGAATGCACTGTCCGTTGTTGCATCTGAACTCATTCCTTCGACATTCTGTGGTGACATTTATTTCTTTCAATTTATTTTACACTGAAAAAAAAGGTTATGAAAACGTACCGCAATTGAACTCGTCGCTTCCGTCGGCACCGCAATCGTAGTTCCCATCGCAACGCCTGTCGATCGGGATGCAAGTCCCACTTTTGCACCTAAACTGGTCACTGCGACATTCTATTTACGCAAAATAAACGTTTCAATTTTTCTCAAAAAATACGCAAACTGCGAAAATTACAGGGAAATTGTCGACGCCACCCAACGTCATCGACTGCGAGTCGTTCGAAAAATTCCAAGAAATCATCCCGTCGATAAGACGACGTTCGAGAGTATTATTTTCGCATGCAAAATAAAACATGTAAAATCATGCATGGATTTCTATGTACAAAGGCAAAAGCGTGCACATTAACTGGGTGCCATGCAAGCTGCGTTTCGGGGAAGATACGAAAACAAAAATGACGATATGAGTACACATTTTCACTTTTTGTTCGGGCTCGGTCGTTTCCGTTCCTTTTCGGAAAGGAAACCATTTAGATGCCATGTAATCAATGAATGTATTCTTGGAAGCAGAAGGTATGTAAGAAAGATAAATAGGACTCACCGCAGTTGAGCTCATCGATCCCATTGCTGCAGTGTTCGACACCATCGCATCGATACCTTGTGTCCAAGCATCGACCATCGCACAAGATTTGTCCGCCTGAGCACTCTGCACAAAAGGGAACCACCACGGACATGATGTGTGTATGTACTTTTTTTTTTCTTGCCGAATATTCTTTTGTTAATCTGGGTCAATATAGAGAGAAAATCACGAACCGGTGTCGTCACAATAGTACTCGTCCGAGTTATCGGAACAATCGGATCTTCCATCACATCGCCGTCGGGCGTCAATACATGTTCCGTTTTTGCAGCGGAATTCATTTGTACGACATCCTGTGGGCAAAACCAACACTCAAAGATTAATTTAAATAATACTTTAGAAAAGAAATGGGTGTTCTGAATTCCTCTGCTCGGGTTATCTAGTTGCTGGACGTCGCCAGCAAAAGATATATCTTTCCTCTACTTCCTGCTTGAAAATTATGCGAAAATTCTGAAAAATATCACTTGAATCTTAAAAACAGGAGAAAATGTGCCTCTTCTTCCAACTTTGTAAAAGCTTTCGAAGATTTTATATCTTATGTACAAATATCAACCATCGATAAAAAAGAAGCAAACTGAAGATTTTCCTGATGGGTATTTTCTTCAAATTCGCGTTTCCCAACCTTTTTGGGCCTGCGGACCGCGGCGGAATTAAAAAAAAAATTGCAAACAGGCAAAGTTTCAAACAATTTTTGCAGACTTGAAAAAGCTTTTGTTGAAAGACTTTATGGCCGACGTTTAAGACGTTTCTGCTCTTTTTCAAAAGTTAAGAACCAATGAAGCAGCTACAGAGGAATGTCTTCAAGGAATTAGAAAGGTGGGCTTGAAGAAAGGTTTCTCAGACTGAAAAAAATGAAAATGACTCATTCCATCTGGTGAAAATTTGTCTGATGCGTTATTAGGAGAAAAGCCAACTTTTATATTTTGCCATCAGATAGTTTAAACTGCCAATGTCTTTTCAAAATTTCAGGTGAAGATACAGACTTCATTGCTACGTTCGATAAATGAATTATGCTGAAATTAATTCCCGCGGACCGGCAAAAACTTCTGCGGACCGGTGCCAGTCCACGGACCACGGGTACTGAGGAACAGTGTTTCAAATCATCCGTCCTGAGGATTCAAATGCAACTACCGTATACATAAAATCTTAAATGCTCATGTATCGAAATTGTTTGAAAAATGCTGGCGTGTATATACATTTCATTTCAGCACCAACGCAAACCCCTTTTGGATTGAGACCCATAATAAGAGTTTGAGGAAGGGGTTAATTTTTAATCCTTCACCATTAAACAAAAATGGCAATAACCTGTGATTGAGCCGCAATTCGATTCGTCTTCTCCTCTCGGACAATCGATATTGCCATCACAGACTCGGCGCTGGTCCACGCACACTCCAGATGAGCAACGGAATTCATTCGATCGGCAAGGCCCTGAGTAAGAAAACACACCAAAGATAAAGGTTTGAAAAGCCAAAGAACACAATTGAGTGAGTACGAGTAGAAAAAAAGGACTTACTGGGACATCCGACTTCGTCTTCGCCATCTGAACAATCAGGTCTCGAATCGCAGCGTCTCCGACTGTCGATGCATTCTCCGTCGGAACAAGTAAATTGTGAGCTGTGGCACGACGCTGTCATGATTGAAATAGACAATATTGAACATGAAAAACGCAAGCTTTTGATCTAAATATTATTGGATATGTTGACTTACGTTGACTGGGGCAGTTGAGCTCATCTTCTCGCAATGGGCAATCAGGAACGCCATCGCAAACGCGTCTTTCGCTGATGCAAGTATTGCTCGACGCAGAACAGCGGAATTCATCGGGGCGACAAGCTAAAACAGCATAAAAAAATTCATAACTGCAAATATCAGGCAAAGATTTCATGCAGACTGCTGTATTTATCAGATAACAAAAGACGTTTGTTTTGTGCTTCAAAAATGAAAAAAACCACTCGTCACGTACTTCAAAATTAAAAAGCGTTTTCATCCAGTGTTAATTTTACTCGAGTTTTTTTTTTTCCTCAGAATCAGAGAAGTGGGCTAATTTTCATCGCTTCAATAAAACTTCCTGCGGAACAGGGGATTTCAACTTTTGCCTTATGTGCCACTAATAATTCGTTGAGTGTATAATTTGAAAAACTGATTTTTATTCGAAAGAATGCGTTGATCATCAGCGGTGCTGCTACTCCTCACCAACGACTCGATGAGATCTTTAAAACTGAGATGCTGTAATGCCTTCCTCATTTGCTAACCTATGCACATTTTTTACAGAATGTTTTACTGGTTTTTGAGCAAATATGGACACTGTATTTATACAAAAAAAAGCATTACTCACGTCTCGGTTGATCCGGGCATCCTTCTTCATCCTCGCCAGTCGAACAATCTCTGACGGTGTCGCATCGCTTTCGAGCATGCAAACACAAACCGTCGTAACAAGAAAATTCGTTCTCCCCACAATCTGAATTTTTAAAAACGCTTATGTTCAATACCAACAAGTGTTATGCTCCTTTTCTTTTTATCGCTATTTTAGAAAAACGCACCATCAAAACGTCCAGAGCAATCGGTTTCATCTTCTCGCAAAGGACAGTCAGGCACCCCGTCACACTTTTTGCGATAGTCAATGCAAGCTCCATTTGATGCCGAACACCGGAATTCATCTTGTCCACAAGCTGTAACAAGTTCAAGGTTTTGCAAATTGATTCGAACAGGTGAGATATTTTCTTACAACATTTTCAACAAAATTTGGGAAACTGAACACCGACAAATTTGTGTTTGGAACACACGCTATAAATTCTTTGAAAGCTATAAGAGCGCATCTCCCCCATGATAATCAGGTTCTTTTGAAAAAATCCAACTGAGGCTCACAGTCATTTTTCTGTCCACACCAGGTAATAAAATTCAACAAACAATAAACTAAGTTGAATTATGGCTATTTTGCTGACTGCCTGAAGTAATCCAGAAAAATTGTATCGTGTCTTTATGAAAATTCCGAATCTTTGTCATCACAAATTCTACGTTAGTTTCTTCAATTAATAAATTTATAAATGCACTGAATGAATAAAAATGAAAAAGAACATTCCAGTGAATATTTTTCCTCTTCAACTAAATGCTGCTTATTCAGATTGATGAAACATATCTTTCACAGACTTCTGTGATTTTTTTGAAATATATTGTTACTTCGATGCGTATACTGCTATGTACTTCTATTCGGACTTTTGGGTTCAACATGACTATGAACCCAATTTTTCCAAAAAAGAACATGTTTTGAATACATATTTACATCACCGAAAAAAATTTTATAGGGAGGCCTATACATACAGCTAAAAGTAAGTTTTCATCAATTTTTCAATTATCGGCTCACCAAAGGAGGTCGCTGAGCAATCAGTCTCGTCTTCTCTCAAAGGACAGTCGGGAACCCCGTCGCATTTTTTGCGATAGTCAATACAAGCTCCATTCGATGCCGAGCAGCGAAACTCGTCTCTTCCACATGCTAAAAGCATGATTTATAATTGATTAAAATCATGTTTGATTGATTTTCGGGCAATGCCGAACTCACTCAACGATGGCGAAGAGCAATCGGTTTCGTCCTCTCGCAAGGGACAATCAGGAACTCCGTCACATTTCTTCCTGGCATCGATACAGGCTCCGTTGGACGCTGAACAACGGAATTCATTTGGTCCACAAGCTATAAAACAAATTGAAATTTGAAAATTAATAAATAGACTAAAGAGTGATTGCGGTGAAAGAAGGCACTCACAGCAGGATCTTTCATCTTCGCCGTCAGCGCAGTGAGTTTTGCCATCGCATCTCAGGGATCCATCGATGCAAGTTCCATCGTTGCATTCGAATTCGGAGCTCGAACATTCTAAATATTATTTAAAAAAAATCTTGAACAATTCAAAAATTATGCTAGTTGATTTGAAAAAGTTCTTACCACATCCCAATTCGTCTCTTCCATCACGACAATCTGGGTAACGATCGCATCTCCTGCGATTATCAACGCATCGTCCGTCACAAGAAAATTGATTTTCATTGCATTGATTTATCGCTGAAAGAAAGACATCAATCGAATTTTTTTTTAAAGGCAATTTTTCATGAAAACTGGGACAAAAATATCATAGCTTTGATAACCAAAGGGATGATCTTTAAAAAATTCTGCAGATTAACTTACAGCAAGCTTCTTCATCCGAACGATCAGCGCAGTCTATTCGCCCATCACATCTACTCTCTGAAGGCACACATTGACCAGATCTGCATCTGAATTCATTTCTATCGCACTCTGAAAGAAGAAAATCAAAAATATGAATTAATTCAAATATTCATTTTTTCAGACATGATCGTCGGATTTCCGGGTAAAATCGATTAATAGCACTTACCGCAATAAGCTTCGTCACTTCCGTCCGGACATTCTCTTTTACCGTTGCAGCGAGCAGTCGAATTAACGCATACATTATCCTGACATTTCATCTCGTACGGAGCACAATCTGCAAAATAAATTGATGCGTTGAATTGCACTGTACTTCACCCGATAAATTCATTGCGAATGACTGACTACGGTATCAACTCCAAAAAGGTGTAAAAATCTTCGTTGCTTCCATAGCACACTTAAATTCAGCAGTATTTCTAGAGCTTGAATTTATTTATTTTTCAAGATCATACCAAGCTATGTCAGTTGCTTGCTTGATTAAAAATATTGTATTTAATTCCAGGAACTCTACCAAACCGTGGCCAAAAAATGCATCCCTTTCAAATAATATTTCAAAACACAAATGTACTGCTTTGAAAAACTGCGACAACACCATGACCCTTGTAAGCCTCTGAACGCTTGATATTAATTAACCCTTGATAATGTTCCGAATATGCAGTGAATTTTAAGCAAGTTATCGAAATCAAAACAGTGCGCAAGACAGTTCCTTATAAATTCACTTCAATTTTCCCACGAGATGTATCGACAATTATTTCATAAAATTATTGAAAAAGACGCTTGATGCATCATCTGTCATTTCAATTGGCGAGCATTTTTTCGAACGCGTTTTAATTGTCGACGTGAACCTGGAATTTCTTAAATTTAGAAACGATCCCCGTTCATTTTAATGCTAAAATTAGAAGAAGTTCGACTTTATTGGAATAACCTATGCAGATGCAGTGATATTAAAATTTCGCCAACATAAGAAAAATATTTTCATAAAATGGGCGGAAAGAATTGAAGTACTGCAGCTCACCGCAATCGTAGCCCACAATTGTGATCAACTCAGGAGGTATGTCACCAGTGTCGGAATCTCTTGACTGAGGGAAATCCACCGAGGAATACAACGGTCGACAATCTGAAATCAGAAAAAATTCCTCTGTCAGGAAAACTTTCAATGTGACATCCTCCGTATCCGATGACTTCACTAATTTTCTATATTCATAAATACATTCATGAGAATAAATGTAATTTTATTTAATTTTTTAAATTTGAAATGCTGTAAAAAAAATAGACTCACTGCAATCCTTTTCATCGGAAGCATCAGTGCAATCGGTTTTTCCGTTGCACCGTTTCCTGATATCAACGCACTCGCCCGAACCGCAATGGAACTGAAATTCTCCACAACGATCTGGATTTCCTGAGAAAAATCATTGAAAAAATACCGGGTATTTCAGATGGAATTGAGCATTCAATGAACATCGGCATCTGATTATAATACCTGGGCAATTCCGTTCGTCGAGCCCATCGCGACAATGTCGGTATCCGTCGCAGCGGAATCGGTTGCTGAGACACAAATCTTCGTCGCACAGAAACTCATCCTCAGGACATGTGGTAACATCTGCAAATGGAAATTTTTGTTCAAAAAAATTTGCATTTTGACCAGTTCAAATGCTGCACCGAATGACATTTCAAGGTTTTTGAAATTACAACGATTTACTCACCACCAGGACACCCTTGTTCATCGAACCCATTCGAACACTGAGTGAAACCATCGCAGAGAAAACTTTGGTCGAAACAAGCCCCATCGCAGGAAAATTGATCTCTCCGACAAGCTGCATTATAGAAATGGAAATAATGTTATTCATGCACATTTTCTGGAATTCATAAACATAAAAATAGGTGTTGTCATAAACTCACGGCAATTCAGTTCATCAGCACGATCGGGACAATCAGCCCGACCATTGCACCGCTGGTCTGCTCGGATGCACTGTCCGTTTCCACAACGGAACTCGTTTGATTCACATTCTATGAACAATTTCATTCGGGAGCGAAACAAAGATTTCGTGAAACGAATTTTGCAACAAAAAAACTTGAAAAATTAAACTTTGACTTACGGCAATTGTCTTCATCTGACCGATCAGGGCAATCCACTTGCCCGTTGCACCTTTTCGTAGCGTTCACGCATCCGCCACTTCTGCACGAAATTTCAAATTCCGCACAATCTATTCCGAAAAACAAGAGCAAACATTTTTTAGTGAACTTTAAAATGCTTTTGTCCCTCTATAGATCATCAAATGTATCCTACTGCTGGTAAAACGTAGGTAAAATATTTTACGGCATAACCTTTATATACGTCAGGGTAACCCATTTTATGAAAAATAACGTAGGTGCATCGTAAAAGCGATCAAAATTACCCATCAGGTGCGGTTTACAAGGAATTGTGCCATTTCTTCCTTGAGAGAAGTCGGATTTTAAAGTTTCTTCATTTATTCCAAAGTCTTTTTAAAACTGAGGTTGAGTCATCGTGTGTTGCAAAAAAAATTCATTCATCTAAATTTAGAAACAAGGCTTTTGAATAGTCGCTGTTTGCACCAAAAGCTTGTGCATCAGTGAGATAAGAATCTGCCATGAAGGTTTTCCAGATTCTTATCACCGAAGAAAAGTTAGGTTTAGAAAAGTGAGAGTATCTCAAGATTTGTCAATCAGGTCAATTTTTATGTCAAACAAACGAAGTTGGAAAACATCTTTGGCTTTAATTTAAGATGTTTTGGAATTTTCTAACTGTAAAATTCGCGGATTTATATGCTTCGGAAGTTTGTGCGTCGGGAATTGCACCATAGGCAAAGCGTCTTTTCTTTGCTGATTTTATTTTTCTTTTTGAAAGCAAGTTAACTTTGACTTACGGCAATTGTCTTCATCTGACCGATCAGGGCAATCCACTTGCCCGTTGCACCTTTTCGTAGCGTTCACGCATCCGCCACTTCTGCACGAAATTTCAAATTCCGCACAATCTATTCCCAAAAACAATAGTAAACATTTTTAGTGAACTTGAAAATGCTTTTGTCCCTATACACAGCATCAAATGTATCCTACTGTTGGTCAAACTTAGGTAAAATATTGTACGGCATGACCTTTATATGTCAGGGTAACCCATTTTATGAAAAATAACGTAGGTGCATCGTAAAAGCGATCAAAATTACCCAGGTGCGGTTTACAATGAATTGTGCCATTTATTCCTTGAGAGAAGTCGGATTTTAAAGTTTCTTCATTTATTCCAAAGTCTTTTTAAAACTGAGGTTGAGTCATCGTGTGTTGCAAAAAAATTCATTCATCTAAATTTAGAAACAAGGCTTTTGAATAGTCGCTGTTTGCACCAAAAGCTTGTGCATCAGTGAGATAAGAATCTGCCATGAAGGTTTTCCAGATTCTTATCACCAAAGAAAACTTAGGTTTAGAAAAGTGAGAGTATCTCAAGATTTGTCATTCAGGTCAATTTTTATTACAAACAAACAAAGTTGGAGAACATCTTTGGCTTTAATTTAAGGACAAAACCTTAAAAGATTGACATTTTAAGCGCCTAAATATACGAAGCCTTCAAACACGCAGCCCTTAACGTGGTATCCGTTTCGCAGAAAAGAAACGACTAAAATAAAAAGAAAAACTTTCGTTCAATATATTGCACAATGCAAGATTGTATTTGCTGATTGTGTGTGTGATTGTTGTCTTCATCAAACCTGTGATCAGAGACAATAATAAGAGTCCTCTTTAAACATCCAAGGAGTGAGGACGCTCCAGCTTCTCTTATTTCCTGCAGCCATAATGTAGTTTTGTACTTTTAAAATTAAATTCCCTTGGAGGCTGGGTAATTGCCTCAGCACTCAGAAGTCTCTTGCATCTGGAATGTTTTTAATGCAGCTTAAAATTTGCAATAATCGTGAGTGTAGTCCAAGAAAAATGAACCCTTCGATCTGAAAATGCTAGAAAATTTCGGCCAATTTGATGATCCTTTTGAGCGATTTTCCACTGACCATCCCCATTTTTAGAACGAAGTTAACGTTTTTACGCCTTTGTTAACGCCGCTAGTAGACTAATGCCTGGTTGTTAAATATTAACTTGTATACGCAATACAAAAGTCTTTATGGCGGTAAAGTGTAGTTGTGTCTCTCTTGAGCCGAAACACGTTGAATACTGTTTCTGGCGTTGCATTGATCAAGGTATCTAGGATTCGTCATTTTAGCATTTTTGTTGATCATAGAATCGATGGCGCCTTATATACATTTACCATATTTGTCTTAGGTAGACATTTTTTCCGATTTTGTTCAGTCTCGAAACCGTCGAAAATTTACCAACACTCACCGCAAACATAGTCGTGATGCAAGGTGAGGTTAGAGCTTCCGATTTGTGGATATACAATCCCCGGTTTTGGCACCAAACGACATCCTGTCGACAATAAAGGTAATCAAGGTCAGTTTTACACAGAAAATGTGTGTAAAAATTTAAATTTCTGTTTAAGCGAGGTTTTTTACTTGAGAGTGACGTTAAAGCGAGTAGTCACGGTAGGGACGTGAGCATTAACCACAACGTCGCACGACTGTTTCCGTGCGTGCACGCTAGGCTTTGCGTAAGCTTAAGTTTGCCTGGCGTTTCTGCAAAAGGAACGTTAGAGCAAATCTGTTACATTTTTTTTGCGCTTCCGAGTTGATATTAAATTAGAGAATGAATAATTTTTTAGATCAATCATTGAGTCACCTTGAACACCACAGTCGATTTCGTCGGAAGAGTCGAAACAGTCATAAGCCCCATTGCATCTAGCGGATGCAGGAACGCATTGTCCATTTCTGCATCGATACCGGTCAGGTCCACAAACATCTGACCAGAAAAAAAAGTCACTGAATCCCCGAATCTACTTATCCAAAGCAGTAAATTGGTTATTTTTCTGACACTCAATGCCCGACACAAATTTTTTTCACGATGTTTGAAAACTGAGCTGGGATTTCGAAGGGAAAAAAGAAAATACTTGGGACGTGAGCATCGCAGAAGATAACCTGATATGTGGGTTTCCTTAAAAACAAGTTACTGTACTGTACAAATAGACCAGTTTAAAAGGATTAGGACTGAACGTGCAGGAAATTTGCTTTCTGAAAAAATTAAGTTATTATTACAATCTGGTAAAATTCAAAAAACAGAGTCGCAAATTTACCATCACATGACTAGCAAAATTCGAAATCCACGGATTCTATTTTTTTTTCGGGCAGAAAGTTGAGTCACATTATACGTCCAAGAAAATTCCATATTAAGCTTCCTAATTTTACTCAGCCAGAAAAAAAATAATAAAAAAATGCCCACGGGGGCATGAAGTCGAGTTGATACTTTCCGAATAGAAGTATAGATTTCACTCGAGACGCTTCCAGTCTATAAGATTTTCAGTTATTTTTCAGCTCTAATCCCAAGACCCCCAATAAACTCCCATATGAAAATAATCCGATCCTGGTTTAAGGCACAAACTACGATGAAGCTATGAAGAATAATATTTAACAGATCCTACCAATAATTGACTGAACTCCACATCATCAGCTTAAGTTTGAATTATACTTGATCAATGATTTGAAATACATACGGAAATCACATGAATGAATGCAGGTGCTGTGTACATTTCACCGATAATAATCGACATAATATCAAACTACTGTACTTGTCTTTTCGAATGATTAAATCAAAGAAGCTGAAGTTTGTGGGATGAAAAAATCAGCTTGCACTCATCACAATTTTCTGGAAAAATCAGAATCTTTCTGAGAATATCGAACCTGAGACTTCAGTTAAACTATATACTGATAAACGCAAGATTTCTTGCTATTCTTTCTCTTTCGGATTTATTGGGGGTATTACATGAAATGAAGAAAACCCATTATTCGTCGAGATTGATTGCCTTTGGTTTGAAGGACTTCGTGATTAATGCTCACCACAACCGATTTCGTCCACGCCATTGCTGCACTGCGCCACGCCATCGCAGCGGTAATTTTCACTTATGCATCTCCCGTCGCACTCGATCTCGCCGGAAGGACAAACTAAAATACGGCATCGAAGCAGAATAAAAATCAGGGATTTACTGGAAATTAGCAGCTGTTTGTCATACGAACGCAAATCAATGCGTAAACAGCCTCATAATTGAGCCCCGTTGGAAAACGAATGCACTCACCGGTGCCACAATTATTCTCGTCCGAACCGTCGCGGCAGTCTCGGAAGCCGTTGCAGCGCACGCCCTGCGTTAGGCATTCGCCCGAAGCGCATCTGAACTGATCGTCCCTGCATCGTCCAGCTAGAAGCCACACCCGGTTAAATGTCGAGATGATTAAGCACTGATTCACGAGTACTAATTAATGAGAGTGGATATATTCTCGGCCTTTCGTGCGTTAAATCAACAGCATATTTGTTTACAATATGCCCCTGCTGGGACCTGGGAGTAAGCGTTCAACTCCTCAAAACTGGGACGGGCTTAATAATGTAGCTTCTGTACAGCACACTAGAGTGAACCTTCTTCAAGTGCGAGGGATGATCCATATTGTTTGAGAATTTATTGATTCCGGGCGGATATCGAGGGTTTGGTTGCATTCTAATTTTTTTTTATGTAAAAACATTTTCAGAAGTGAACAGCAAACAGCTTGCCTGGAATTATTCGAGGCTTAATTCGGAATAAATTTGATTTACTCTGTCTCAAATATTAACGTTGAACGCGTAAAAAATGGGAATGTGATAAGTCTCCTAATAATTTTATGCAAAATTCAAAGAATAATCCTTCGTTATAGAGACCCTAGAGACCATACGTTTCGAGAATATGCCTAGCTGCAGACTAAATCTGCGGAATGGTTTCAATAAATAAAAAATGTTTAACGTTGTTTTTGCTGCATTTTGACTTAAATTTAACCTGATTAGTTTTACTGAAATCACTGAAATGTGCTTTAGAAACCTTAAAACAGAGACATGCTGTAGCTGAAACCGTCATTTTTGGGGTCAGAAATACAAAATAGGATTCGTAAATTTTCTGTTTAGATTTCTGAAATTGATTTGGGCCCTGACAACTGAGAAGATTTTCAGTAAATAAAAGCTGTCTAAATTCAAATGATTTTTTCCCTTTCGCAATAGCTTAAAGCTACGATTTCATGAAACGTAAAGCTAAAAGTTGATTTACCCGAATGACTATAAAAGTTACAACTTGTTTGTCAACACTTCGACTTTAGACGTTGGGTTCTTAAAGAGAGGCCTCCAGCTAAACAAAAATTCGAGGCCCTATACACGTTGTTAATTTTTTTTTCGGCGGGAAAATTGATGACCTTTTCAAGAAAAAACATTGCAGTTCAGTACGTAAAAATGTTCTTCCTTCAAAAATCACTCAATTATGACATCGACAAATTCATTACTGGCGTCGCTCGGAATTGCTCCTGTGCAAGAAAATGAGATGCTGCCGGGAATTTGACCGTTATTGCGTCTCACTTACAAATTTACTGCGTCTCCTTTTTCCAGAGCATAAACCAAATTGATGAAACATTTATGCCAATATTCCCCGTCTAAAATCAGGCAGTCGAACGATTTTTCCGTGTTAAAACTACCGTTCCAGCATGGAATCCCATACATTCCGTAAAATTAACTTCTACAGACCACATCGTGAACGGATATTGTACACGGAAGTGCCCGTTTTTCCGAATGAATGAATCAATGAGTCCGCTAAATTCTGGTCAATGGATCATATCGTGATAAACCTTTCATCAGCAGTTTCCATTCAAGATAGCAACAAAGCCTTAAACGCTGTCGATACTAATTAGCCATTATGAACCTCACTAAGTATTAAAAGCCCCTTTTCTCACTAAGTAAGTTAATTTACAAATGAACCATTAAAGTCGTTGTTTTTTTTACGAGATGCAAATGCCTGCAAAGATCTGCAGAATAAGCTGCAATAATTCGGACTTGAATCAACAATCATTTGAATAATTTGCCCAAACGTAGATGATTTCCAAGCAGTTGAACAAGGCGAGCAACTCGAATAAAAACTATACATAAATCTTTGCAGCATTGAGTATAACCTCCAATTCTTCAGGATCATGACTGGATGCCTTTTTCGGATGATCAAACATCTCTGGTAATTGCAAATTGTGATGAAGAATGTAATAAAACGGTGATGGCTTGAAAGTTGCGTAAATCCGAAAATGTCTCAAACGAAATCATTTTACAGAATTATTCCGGCTGATGCTTTTCGAGCTTTGAGGATTAGCGGAAATATTTTCTCAGGCAATCAACAATAACTGAATGCTTTCATCATCTGTTGACGAGAAATGTGAAAAAGATTCGTGCGCCTAGAAAAACTAAATCATATAAATAATATGAAATATTTTCAGGAGATCCCGCATGAATTAATTTTTTTTATTTGCTGCTTTAGTTTTCTATTTTATAGCGGTGATGTTTCCTCATTCGAACAACATGCATTCGATCATTAGGCCGTGAAATCAAACTTCAGGCGTTTTCGATACCATTTCAATGTTAAAATGATATGCGTGACATTTTAAACCGATATCCTTGACTCGTAAAAAACCTAGCTCGGAAAAATGAATTTTCAATCATATTTACAAGTATTTGAATTAAATGAAGAGACCCTTTCTGAAATCTTAAAGGATCAAGATAAACTGTTGGCCTTATATCCTCTGGCCTGCAGTCTTTTTTAGGCATGCAACTCATGCAAATCAATGTTACCCAAAGCCGAAAACAAGCAACAATCCAAAGCCATACGAATCTTTGCGTGCTTTAATTAAATGAAACACAATAAGTTCGAGAACGGGCCTTTGGCCTGGACATGCGAAGACAGGGAAAAAAAGCTGGATGATCTGAAGTTGCTTCGAAATTTTGTGAGAGAAAATCTGAAATTCATTTTTGTTTTATTCAATTTTCATCTGAATGAATATAGGGCGCATAATGAGGATTCCCCAGAAATAGCGCAGATGCGACCTTCAACAGTGATGTTCAAGGACAGGCCGCAGTGCTTGAAATGTGTGGCCTATCACCGTAATGATCAAATGGATGAAAATAAATCAAGTTTGATGAAATCAGGAGGTGACAAAATCGTCCGATATGAAAAAAAGATTTAATTTTTTATGGAGCTTGCTCCGGGTGTTTTTTTTTTGCGCCTTATTTTAGTATTTCATGGAATTGTTTCCCAACCCCTTGCAATCAGCGGATCATTTGAATTGCTATCACTGTATATTTCACCCGCCGAGTGGGATTTTTTTTGAAGCAAATATTTTTCAAAATTCATCAATTCTATGGCAATTTTATTTTTATGGAATGATAAATAGATTCGGTACTTTCAGTTATTTAAAAAGAGTTTTCCAGAAAAGCAACTTCAAATCAAATAGCTTCCTCCCTTTTGTAAATAATATCTATGTTCAGAATGTGGCAATGCTCCAGTGAATAATGTAGTTGCAAATTGACGAAGAAAAAAAGTAGGCTCAAATCTAGGCAAGTGAAGTTAAAAGTGACAAGCCATAGCCGAAATGCAATCTTCACGTGTCATCCAAGACTTGAAGAGTAAAACAAAAAAAATTGGGTGAGATCCGCAGGCGATAAGGTTATTAAACTTAAAAAACTTTATTCATACGTATTTATTTTCTCCTCTCAAAGAGTTTCGATAAATAGCTCTCAAATCTTTCTTAATCTTTATCATCGTACGAGTTCGTTTAGGAGGAGAAGCTGCTAAATCTAGTACGTTATATGTTTACAAACAAATGACTAAGGAAGAGAAATTTCCGTCACATACTGTATATATTGCAGTTTCGGGAAGAGACACTTCAGGTCGACGCTGCGAGTGGCGTTCGCAAATTTCCGCCGTCGAGGGGTCAAGCCAAGAGCACTTACCGCAGTCCTCTTCGTCAGATCCGTCGGAGCAGTCGTACATGCTGTCGCATTTCTTCACCCCCATTATGCATTCCCCGGTTCTGCACTTGAACTCTCCTGGAAGACATTCTGCAACCAAGAGCACTTACCGCAGTCCTCTTCGTCAGATCCGTCGGAGCAGTCGTACATGCTGTCGCATTTCTTCACCCCCATTATGCATTCCCCGGTTCTGCACTTGAACTCTCCTGGAAGACATTCTGCAAGGGAAAAACCAGGACATATAAACCCCCTCCAAAACCTCACTCAGTAACAGAAAAACATGAGCAAAATATCGTATTTTTAAAAATCACTATAAAACGGTTTTCGAAAAAATAAGGCATGCAAAAAAATGCAAAATGAAAACGCAAAAGCCTCCATCTAAGTAAAGTATGGCGCCTTTTTCTTTCAGAAAATGCGTATATCGGAGTGTGGATGTCAGCGAATGGACATTTTTGAAGGAAGATAATTTTCTTTGAATAACTTTTAAACGGCTCCCTTATATAATAATCTTTAGGTAGCGTCTTTATGCTGTGCGTCCAATTGAGAGAGAGATTTTTTTTAAAGCTACCTGGATTTTTTTATACGTTATTTCTCCTAAAGCAGCATCACTTGTTCCCAAAAGAACCCTATACACAGGACCTAAAAAGTCGTTACACAGAGAATATCGTTATAAAGAAAAGATCGTTGTAGAGAGAGTCCACCTGCATAAACAATTTTCAACGTCGTGCGATCGGACGCTCGCAAGATTTCCTCCGAAAGTCACTCAATTGTAGTATTCCGGGAGAATATGTGTGATTCAAGGTTTTAAAATAAATCTCATAAATTAAAGATACTGCGCAAGAAATAACCGCCATGGTTTAAGAACCCTGTACTAACTAGAATCAACAAAATGTACGCAGGAAATAAAAGTATGAGTGAATCAGCGATTTAAATTCACGAGGATTTTAAATTTCATTAAATTTGGTTTTCAGGACGGAAATGGACATTGAGATGGAATCCTCGTCAATGCTGGAAATCATGCGACGCATCATCTTCATATTTTCAATTTCTACAATAATGACTGGCAATCTAAGCGAGTTTTTACATCTTTTGTTTTGAGATGATAATTACAGTACGTCTTGGAAACTGAAGAATGCGTTTGCTGAAAGCTCTCCCACTTATTGTTCATCTCAAAAATCGAGGCATTGGAAAATTTGTTGGAAGCACTCCAAACATTTCGTTCTTGACGTTATTTCGTAAAGAAAGGCGGCACTTCTCAAAGAATATACGACGCATAATGTCCCCCTCTGCCCCCCCCCCCCCAAAAAAATTTAGAGTTTTAGCAAAATGACTCAAGTTAACGAGCCATAATGTAATCTCTGCTTCAAATGACTATCATTTATACGCTTTCGTATCTGACAAAAGGGCATTGCAAGCTTATACACAAAGGGCCTTTTTCGTAGCATTCAACTCCATGCCTCGTCCTCGCGGAAAAACAAATTGAAAGAAAAAAAATTAAATGAAAATCAAATAAGAAAACTGAGGTCTGAAAACGCCAAGGACTTGATTCCCTGCAGGAAATCAGCTGTTCTGAAACTGTGTTCGCAATAAACAGGGCAATCAATCCCGGGGATGCGAGCCCACGCAGCAGCAGCAGCGACAGGCGCGCGCGTCACTCGAATCCCAGGCGCCCGTTCTGTCGAACAGCTGAGTCCCAGCTTCAGCCCTCTCGTTGAAAAATAGCCGTAAAACAATAAAGTATCGTAAATAAATAAAAATGTTTAAAACCGAAAGGTACACGAAACACGAACGTGCGAGCAAGCAAATAAAGAAAAAAAAAACCAAAAAAACTATGTAGAAACGGAAACAGGAAGGTCAAGGTCGTTCTGTTCGCGTGCGGTACCGAAAACACAGCCGTCCTCGTCGGAGAAATCGAGGCAGTCGATGAGTCGGTCGCAGCGCATGTGACCTGCGACGCAATAGCCATCGGTACATTTGAACTCCGACGCGTCGCACTGGCGGTGACGAAACGACCCGAAACCGACGGAATTCGTGTCCAGGTCTGTTGCCACCATTTGTTTCACGCCAATTTTTAATAAGTATTTTTTTTTCGAACCAACGAACAAATGCGAGGCCGAAGAAGTTGGGAAAAATTCCACGCAGCAAAGTTAAAAAAAAATGGAAAAAGGCAAGCCATCAAGAATAGCATGCGATTCAACCAGCAAGAGCGTACGAGTATTACCCCATTTTATTCTTTATTTTAAACTTTTTAAAGAAACTTCGACGTCAATCTCAAACGTATCCGTGAGAAAATATTAATTTTAATTTATTTCGTAATTATCCATATGAAAATAGTATGGGTTGAAACGGCACAATAAAATAGCTAATTTTTTTTTCAAAGAAATTCCCAACATCGAGATTCCTTCTAATCTTCGGATCCTTGAAATGTTCACTGGTCTTTCAGCAATTTTCGTGCACCAAAAAATGGACTGGAGATTTTATCGGGTAAGCTTCGTTTACAAATATTCAAGAGATTCATGGATTGCGATCAAAACTTTCATATCCAATAATAATTTGAATTGCAAAAAATCGCTTTACGAGATTTCGAAGATTGTAGCAACTAAAAATTACTTCAGGGCAAAATAATTCGAAAAATATTTAATATTTGTATTTATCATGAACATGACATCGAACCAGATCAAGGAAAAAAGGAATGCGATAAATGAATGAACTAGAGGGATAGAAATATTATCGACTATACAGAGTAAAATTCAGAGCTGCGTCTGAAAATTATTCCAGTTCATACAATAAGTTCAGTTTCCACTGGGAGAAAAGCGGTATTAAATGAACACCACATCGACAAAAACTCATCTTCACCTAAAATAATCTAGACAAGCATGGCAATAATGAAGTGAACGTAGTAAGAAGGTCGCAGCATAAGACTGCTTTCGTCCCTCTCCGTTTCGCAACGACTTTATGAAGGCATTAACATTTTTCGAAAATACCTAAAGTATGAAGAAGAACTTGTAAAATCCATAAAATGCAGTCTTACCGCAGCCATTTTCATCGGAACGATCAGCACAGTCTGGTGTTTTGTCGCACTTGCGTCGCTCGTCTATGCAAGTCCCGTCTCCACATCTGAACTGATTGCTTCGGCAAGCTGCAATAGGCATAAAAAAATTATTTCCTTCCACAAAGAAGAAGCGTTGAAGCTTCTGAAAAGCTAGAATAATCTTCGACAAAAAGGCCATAAAATCCCCACAGTAATGTGCTTCTTAAGTAGTCGCATCCCGGCGAGACAAAAAAAAAAAAAGAAGAAAAAAACTCCGAAAAAGCTCTGCGGCATAAACCCACAAAACCAGTCGATCGCCTTTTCTAACCACAACAATGCCTTTGAAACGCTTTAAGAAAAGTACCCATTCTAGACCAAATTTTTTCCCTCCACTCGAGTACTTGGATCGTGTGCAAAAATACAGTTATGCGAAATTCGGTCGGACCTCGACCTCGTCCCATTCATCATCGCTGCACAAGTCCTCTTCGCCCTTTTCAAAAGGTATTAGAAAAATCTCGGCTTGTAAAAAACTCTCTATTTTTTTCCTTACATTACACCAAACAATGACAATTTCTTTCTTTTTGGCAGTCGGGAGGAAGAGGTACTTGGCAGAGGCGCATCCCCGCACGTGTGCTCAGTGAATACGGGTCGGGATTGCAATTCAAGCGACAGCAGTTGATCGACTGGGGGAGACAACAAGCTCGTGGAAACGCGTCGAGTGCAGTGACTTTTTCTTTAAAAAAAAAGAATAAATAAACACCATGAAATCCCTCTTTGAAAACTGCTGGTCAGAATGAGCACCTTCGCCAGGTGTTTCCGCAGCTAGGAGACAACAAATGGGTTCGAAGCACAAAGATGACAGGCCCGTGTCTAAACTGTCGACTCAGTTGAAATTAGACGACAAACCCACGAGGTAATATTGCACTCGGGGAACGAATTTAGAACTCATTAAAAAAAATGTGCGCTCTGATTCCCGCCTGGCACCAGCAGGACTGCATGGTGAAAGGATCAAAATAGTACTCCCTTGTTTTTAAAGCCAAATAAAAATATACACGTGGAAAGGTTCGCTTCAACTTTCAGGTTTCGTTAACAGAAATGCCAACTCTTGATTTTTTTTTTTTTACTGCAAGGTGGGGCACAAATAGATTTTATGTCACAGAAACTAAGTCTCTCGCGTTCCCATTCATTTTCCCTCATGCTGAACTAATGTCGAGGGCTCGGCAGCATTACTTTATACCATTTTATTTTTTAAAAACAATATACAGTACTGTTGACAAACAAAACGATTAATTTATTTTTGTCAGCGTGCCGAATTCCATCCTATAATTTCTCATATTTGAAATGCTGATGTAGTAAACACGTGTGAATAGAACATCCAGAATTAATCGCCGCCCAAAAAAAAGCGAAAAAATTAACCAAATCTCCACTGACGCACGAATTAAATTTAATGTAATTTATTTTATAATGTTTTTCACAACAGCAACTTTGTAATTCTTCAAAATTACTTTAGACTTATATTGGCGATCGTGTTTTCAATCTGATAGGTGGACTCTTTCTCTCTATACAAGTACTACAACGATTTTCTCTGTATAACGATTATTTGTGGCCCCACATCAGGGTTAACTCCTCTCGTTAATGGGTTCTCTACAAAGAAATTTTGTCTATAACGAATTTTTGTGGTCCCTCAAGTTTCGTTGTAGAGAGCTCACATGTATAAGCATGAGTAGATGTTTAATGGAAGTCTCACATTACAAATTATCCGTCTAAAACCCATAGAAAAGCGGTCGAATAATCTTTCTGTCTGATATTGGCGTTGATCATTTTTAAATTTAAATCTCAACTTGACATGCAGAGTCATAGGTAAAGAATAAATTATATGCTGCGAAGATGTGAAAATTTGGAAATTGGGATAGTATAGCGTCTATATACTGTAGTCTCATAATTCACTCTTATCATCAGGCGATAAGCTATCTTATTTAAAAACAAAAGAAAACTTTTCTGACGATTATGAGTGCAGTATGACCAAGCACTAAAATCATGCCTAAATAAACAGGCCTATTTTTTCGGAAATTTCGGGTTTCATTCTACAGATTCAGGAAATTTTCAGGATATCTTTGTGAATCCGAATCGAACAGTTTTGTTTTCTTCTATTCGCTTTCGAAAAATTTCCTGAAGAAATTGAATCATCGTTCAAATGTCGAGGATTCGTTGACGAAAGGCGAGGAGGGATTGAAACAAAAATTGGCACCGATCCAAACAAACGATCGGCGGTGAAATATTGCCCAGTATATACTTACGAAATTTTTGAGGTCACACGTGCCGAATAATACAAGGAGAGGAGTTTTGTTTCGGCCCCCGGGGGATTCGGATAAAAGGAAGAAACAGTTCCTTGTCGTGATTTCCAGGAACCAAATCACGTCGGTGGTTCACGGGGAACTGTGATTCCCTCAAAGCGAGACGAATATAAGGATGAGTGGATATGTAGGTACTCATTCATCTCATTCTGTTACCCTTTCTTTTCCCTTTTTTCTCTCTCTCTCTCGCTCTCTTTTACTTCCCTAATTTCGCCAACACCAATGCGTGTCTTTTCCATGTTCTTTTGGTTTTTCTGTAGGAACAAAATCAATCATTACTGAACGTAGACGAATCTCATATAATTCAATATTTGCAATGAACTGACATCAGTTTTTAACACGTTTTTATTAACT